TGTAAATCCCGTGTAACTCTATGTATGTCTAGCATTACTCATCAAACGCCCATGGTAATCATGTTAGAAATCCTGCGGATCAAAGAGGCCCTTAATTTCAAATTTACCCCATCCCACACATCAGGAATAGAGATGTTTTGTCCATTAACAATCACGTATGGGTCCTCACACGTGTAGCTAGCAAGGTAGCAGTGCCCAAACGAGATATTTCCCTAAAACTTTACATGTTTAATTCTCATTCGCAATTTTCCATCTATACCCCATTGTACCCCCATCAAAGAAGGAGAACACTAATTAGTTCCATAAGTTCAATCAATTATATTGGGCTGCCATATCTATAATCTTCTATTATTTTCCAAATCTTGTTGTCTGCCATGTGTGATATCTTTTGATCCTGAAGGCTAAGCCCAAAATCTGAGGTCATGAACACCTAACCCACCAAACACTTTTTTCTCTGCCAGTATTTTCATTTGAAATTTTCATGAGGTATGATTTTTGTATTGTTTCCTTGGTTCAAAAGTTTGGCATTATATTTAGAGATCATCGTCACTGCATCTAACCTGGCCAAAATCATTGGCGTAATATATTTTAACAGTTTATGGCTCCATCCAGCCTGGAACGGATTGTCCAGCATCATGCGGGAACGTGAGCATCCCATTCCCCTTTGGCGCAAAGCTAGGCTGCTTTGCAGCTGTCCATCTCTACTTAGCATGTATGCCAGGGACCGTTCTTCCTGTCCTTAAATTGACTAGTCGAATGGTCATCAGTGACATATCTCTCGACGACGGTGTCTTGCGCATTCATGAGGAATCTGAGCCAGACGATTTCTTCTCTGGTTCGGGCTTGGACTCGGCGCTCTACTCCTTGTCCGGGAAATGGGGAGTGGTGAAATGGGCTGTTGACAAAATGACATGCGATCATGCAAAGCTGAACAAGAGCAATTACAGATGCTTGAGCCCCCACAGTGAGTGCGCTGATGTCACGGATGATGGAACGCTCAAACATCTGGGTTACCGGTGCAAGTGCTCTTCTGGTTTCGAAGGAAATCCGTACATCAAAGATGGATGCACAGGTTGGTATATATATACAATCTCTCACATTGTTGTTCGTTTATATTAATCCAAGCAATGGTACTCGTCCTGACAAATATCTCAACTTGTTAAACTATAAGAGTTATGTAATTAAGCTGTTAGTGTAGCAGCTCCAGAGTTTCGTATGGATCACCATTCACCACTGATACTATATATTGTGTGATTTACAGATACTAACGAGTGCCTACACCCAAATAAATACATCTGCAACGGTATTTGCCACAATAAATTTGGGAGCTATACATGCACCAGTACTGTAATATTAGGTAAGCGGTTTATAGCTAGTCACCACTTTAAGGTCATTTCAGTAGTGTACTCATTGTCTTGAAATACTCCATAAGTGTTTGTTGGCATTACTCCTTCCATACATACTTGACTTAAACCGACGGTCAACCGAACCGATGCAGGTGTCAACATTGGACTAGGCAGTGGTGGAGGCATTCTGTTTCTTGCCGCGATTGTTGCAATTGTTACTCGGAGGTGGAAGAAAAGCGTCGAGAAACTTCAGAGAAAAAGGCATTTCCGTAAGAACAGAGGAATTCTGCTACAACAGCTCATCTTTTGTGACAAAAGTTCCAGCGGTGGCACCAAGATATTCTCCCTGGACGAGATGCAGAAGGCGACCAACAATTTCGAGCGCGCACGTGTGGTCGGGCGCGGGGGCCATGGAACCGTCTACAAGGGCCTCCTGGCCGACCAACGCGTGGTGGCCATCAAGAAGTCAATGCGTGCAGTGATGAGTGAGATCGACCAGTTCATCAATGAGGTGGCCATCCTCTCGCAGATCAACCACCGGAACGTGGTGAAGCTCCACGGATGCTGCCTTGAGTCCGAGGTCCCCCTGCTCGTCTACGAGTTCGTCTCCAACGGCACGCTCTACGACCTCCTACACCGCCCCTCCAAGTCGGAGCAGGATGGTGGCTTATTGCCCCTGTCTTGGGAGGAGCGCTTGAAGATCGCCATCGAGATTGCCGGTGCGCTCACGTACCTGCACTCCGCTGCTTCGGTGTCCATCCTACACAGGGATGTCAAGTGCATGAACGTGCTCCTGACGGACAGCAACACCGCTAAGGTATCAGATTTCGGCGCTTCGAGGCTGATCCCAATGGATCAGACGCACCTGGTGACCGCTGTCCAGGGCACATTCGGGTACCTAGATCCGGAGTACTACCACACCGGTATGCTCAACGAGAAAAGCGATGTTTACAGCTTCGGGGTGATCCTTGTTGAGCTGCTGACGAGAAGGAAACCCATCATCGAGAACGAGCACGGCGAGAAGCAGAACCTATCTAGCTACTTCCTATGGGCTATGAGGGAGAGGAGGCCCCTCCAGGAGACACTGGACGTGCACATCTTGTTGGAGGAAGGAATCAGTGAGGAAGAGGTCATGTGCGTGGCTCGGTTGGCAGAAGAGTGCCTCAGTCTCACGCGAGGGAACAGGCCTACCATGAAAGCTGTGGAGATGAGGCTGCAGCTCTTAACTGGGCGCCGTGTTGCACGGCCAGCTGGCCAGGAACAGGTGGCACCACAGCCGCGCTGTCGTGGCGCTGTTCCAGTGATTGGTGAGCACGGCTCACGACAGTTCAGCCAAGAGCAGGAGTTTGTGTCGTCTCTGCAAGTACCGCGCTAGTTTGTATACACACGAGGCATATGCATACTCCTAGGGCCTCTTTGATTCATAGGATTCCGAAAACACAGGAATAGAAAAGATATATGATTGTAATGTCATGTCCATTTGAATCCTACAGAATGTAGCTTGTTTGATTGCATCAAGGGAATGATTCTTTGCAAGAGGTTTGCATGGATGCAAGAAAATTTTCCTATAGGATTCAATCCGATGAATCAAACAAATGTCATAGAAAAAGTGCCTAAGGATTTTAATCCTTCAAAATTTCTATGAAAATCATTTGAATTTAAGAGGCCCTTAGTTTTGAATAGAAGTCTCATGCCTGCAACATTCAGTTCAAAAGCATCATCGGCTTTTTGAACTACTTCTGCTTCGTTGCTTCCGCAATAATAGCAATATGCCATTTATCTTATTATTAGGGTCTATTCGGGAACTAATTCCTTCAGATTTTGGCTACTTGATCTATGCTATTAGGCTATGTCTGTTTGAACTGCACTGCATTTGTTAATTTGCTTGTTGTGTGAGTTAAGCTTCATGCACTAGCCAACGCAATCAAAAGTCCAAACTGATAGAAGAAGTAGGCAATTCACATATGGCGACTACTCTGTGCCGGTCGACCGGCCTAATTTGGGCCGGTCCAAGCGCAACCCTTCGATTCGATGCTCGACAGTCGTTGGATGAGCCAGCACGGCAGCCCGTGACCCTCTCTCTCGTCTTCCTCCTAACTCTGTTTCTCCCACGACTACTCAGCACGGCATAGCTAGCGCTCACCGCGCCCGTACCACGCAACCAGCGAGCTCGAAGCACACCGCCGATGAAGCACTTCCATCCACCGTCGTCGCTTGCCCGGACTTGCCGCACTTCGATCCACCATCGCTGCTCGCCTGACTCGCCGCACTGCTGGCCCCTCGAGTCGCCGCGCCGCACTGCTGGCCCCTCGAGTCGCCGCGCCGCACTGCTGGCCCCTCGAGTCGCCGCCGCGTCAAAAACAAAACACACTCGTAGCAAAAACGTGCCTCCCTCGCCGCGCCCTCTCCCATGGTGGCAGCCGCTGTGCCTCGCCGGTGCAACCCCCTTGTTGCATCACCGATGGAGGACATTTTTGCGGTTCCAGCAAAACTCGATGCGGGTAGTAGCATCTTGGGACACTGGATGTAGCTCCGCCGTGCTGACGCTCGGCTCGCGCTATCTATGGTTCCAGCAAAATTAGGTGCCCATTGTAGCAAAATAAATGGCTGGATCCAGCTCCTCCGCGTGCCGCAGTTGTTGTGGTGTTTGTCGCTGCATCCCATGACCCGGGGGTTGCCGCCTCCGTTGTAGCAAAACGCGCTGATGGTTGAAGCTTTTCGGGTAGCTGGTTCCAGCTTTTGCCGGGGCAGGGAGGTTGGTTGTAGCTTTGGACTCTCCAGTTGTAACACGCCGCGCCGACGGTTCCAGCAAATATTTTTGCCGGTTCCAGCATTCTCGGCGCGCCGTCGCACGCCGCCCGTCCCGTCGCAGCTCTTCTCGTCGCCGGTTGCAGCTCGCCGTAACCATGGTTCCAGCTTCCCCGTGGCCGTTTGCAGCACGAACACGCCGGCGCACGTAACCGCTACAGGTGAGGGCGGCGAGTGTGTGGTGTGCCCCACGGCCAGGTCGTCGCATGGTGAGGCGGCTGTCCGCCTGCTGGTTCCGAACTCGCTCGATTCGCCGCGTCCTAGCTCGCTGGCCATCGAGCACGTAGCCCACAGTCTCCTGTTCATCGCGACGTCGAGGACCTCACTTGACGGTGATGGTTGTATGCGAGGTGGCGCGCGGCGGCATCACCGGCGAGCTGCTGGGCAGGTTTGGAGCGATACAGGGAGGAGGGAGGCAAGCTGTTAGCCAAGAATGAGTGGTTCAGAGCGATTTGCGTGAGAGATAAAAGGGGATAGCGATACAACGGTGGTGGGTCCTACTAGCATCGGGTGGATGCTGAGCGAGCGAGCGGCGCGATTATAAACGTTTCCCTTCACATATACACTTGAACACCCCCACTCACGTGGAGATAGAGGGACGAAAGCCAGGACTTGAACTCAAGACCTTAGGCTTTTATACCAAGTTAAGCTTCATGCACTAGCCAACGCAACCAAAAGTTCGAACTGATGGAAAGGTCTAGCCAATCCACATATACACTTCAACAGTGTGAACCTGGTATCTTTTTGCTATGGTGTGAACTGCATTTGAGATGATATGCATGTTTCATACTTTTATGTACATACTAATAAAAATAGCCAAATTCAGGACAAATTTTTAAAAATGCTTAAGCGGCCATTGCTCTAATCGACAGTTTTTTGCTTTGCTTACTCTTCACGGTTTTTGAAACATTGGATATTCAAATGCTCAGGCAAGGCAATCCTGTATAGTTCAGTTTTTGATGAATATCCATACTGGTTTTATGTGAATAAGCTTGAGAATTACTTTATTAAGTCTGGTAGCTAGCTAGCAGCTCTGTGAATGAGAGGGAAGCGATAAGCATGTGGAAAAAGTTGAGTTGTTTGGAAAAACTGGCTCAATCCATCTGCATCACAAAACATGCATTCTTTCTCGACCAAAAGGAAATGGGTGTAAATCATGGATGGAAGCTACAACATGAGCCAGGAACGGATGGATCATCATGTATGTGCATGCTCTAGCCTTATAGCCCACTGGACCAAAATGCCTTACACCTCACTGTTGTTAATTTTATTTACTGATTTTCTTAGCAAGCAGATTGTCGGAGTAATGGGCCACGGGTAGGCTCACCCGAGTCCCTGGATTTATCAAGACTTTGGGCCAGCTCCGCCTAGCTAGACCCCAAGCTGAAGCTCCGCCCTCTGGTGCCGGCTGGCTAAGCGGCCGGCTGCCAGAAGGCGGCCGACCCAAGTCTACGGCGCTCCGAGTGACCGGCTCCTGACGGCCGCCCTCCAGAGAGGGCGGCAACTGGCAGGCGGCCACCTCACGACTACGGTGCGGCTGAGCCCCCATCGAGAGTACAAGTCAGAGCATGGCTACAGTGAAGCACGTCGCCTCCAACGCTCGAGACGGGCGTGGCTATAGTGCTCCGTACAGACAGAGATCTCCGCACGACGGGGCACTGTGCCATATCTCCCCTGACGTCGCTCCGGGCAGGTGGAGCCCTGTTCCCCACGACGGCCTGTTGGTGCGGCCTACCGGAGGCGGGCCCTATCGGGCAGTGACCGCAAGGAAGACGGTGGAAGCTCAACCAGACGGATTCGAGAGGGGCCGACCTCCAGCAGGCGGCCGTCCCTTGCCTCGAGGCAAGCACGCCATTAAGCTGACAGGACCAGGTGTGGCTACAGTGGCCTCCCTCCAGGCGGCGGGACTGTAGCCCCACTAAGATGACCAAGCCCCCGTCACCAACGACACGGCTATAGTGAGCAGCCACCAACCAGTCGGCGTGACCCACCAGGCGGCGGGCCCCAATGGTCGGCGGAGAAGCCGGAGGCTGGAGACACTGACAGCCGGGCTCAGCACCTGGACGAATTACCATTGTACCCCTGGGAGGTAGGCCTATATAAACCCCCCAGGCCACCCATGCAAACGGTTCCCACTCCATTAGAACTAGCCACTCCCCTAGAGCAGGATGAGAGCTAGCCTTGCGTCCTTCTGCCTCTAGCACACAGCTCGAGGAGCACCATTGTATCACTTGAGCCTTAGTGATCATGCGGAGACCCCGCAGAGCAGGACTAGGGGTGTTATCTCCTAGGAGAGCCCCGAACCTGGGTAAAGTACGCCGGCGTTCGTGTCTACGCCTTATCCCGCTTCCAGGCACCGGCGACGTTCTACTCGCTCCCACCATGATAAGCCATCTGCTGGCATATGTCGCACCCAACCCCCGACATTTGGCGCCCACCATGGGGCGAGGTGCACCGTCTCCCGGAGATCTGCTCTGGACGGGAACCCTGTTCCTTCCTGGCGAGCGAAGCCAGCCCGGCACGCCCGACGGCGTCAGCCCTGACACGCTGCGCGACGTGGAGATCGCCTGCGCGGCGAGCTGCCTCGCCGACCTTGTCGGCGAGATCGACCTCTCCGACGAGCCGGCCTTCGAAGCGGGCACTAGCTGCCGAGAGAGCCGCCTCGTCAGCCTCCTCGACCAGCTCCATGTCACCAGCGAGCCTGCTGTTGACCTAGAGTCCGTCGGCTCGACCGATCCGATGATCGTCGACTCCGACACGGCGTCGCTCGACGCATTCCCCACGAACGTGGTGGTCTATGACGAGCCGCCTCCTCGCGAGTACAGTGGCGGGAGCACTGTCACGGAGGTACTCGTCATCAATAGTGAAGAGCACTCGGACGGGCGTGCTCAAGATCCCCTCGACGCCACTCTGTGCGACCTCACGGCGCCCATTCCCGAGGGCGCGGATGCTGAGGCGCTAGAGGCACGCCGCCTCCAGCTTCTCGAAATTGTTGTCCGCCTGGCCAGCATGCGCCGGCTTTCGGATGCCTACCGGCGCGAGATGGACCTGGCCGTAGGTGGCACGCCGGCTCCTGAGGGGCCTAGCCGCCTCGGCACAGTTCGGCAGCGTGGCGCAACCATCGCCAGCATGTTCGGGGCAGAGTGCCCCGTCTACGCCACGCCTGCAGAGAACATCCAGGCTGCCCAGGCGGTAACGGATGAGCTGGACAAATACGACGGCGATGAGCACCGCCACATGACGGAGCGAGTCCAGCAGCTCCTAGACGCGGCTGCCGCGCAGCACGAGGCCGCCTACCATGCTGAAGTCCCAGCCCGACGAAACAACGAGCCGCCCCCACGCCAAGATCATGGGGCGACCTACCGGACGCCGACTGGTGGCGCCCGCGGAGGAAAGGGCAACGAGCCGGCTACCAGCCGCAGCCGGACGCGCCTCTCCATCGAGCGGGACGAGGACGGCCGCCCTCGCGCAGTAGAGCGGTGAGACGACCCGCCGCCTCCCCTGCCTCGTGGAGCGAGGTACCCCACTCCGTCTCTTGTCACGCATCCGACACTCGGCGACCGCCTT